TTTATTCTTATTTAATATTAAAAAATGTCAATTTAACTTTTAGAAGATTAAGAAATAGCGATTAATCTAAATTGAGAACAAAGATTAAAATATTTGTCTCTTGTACTTCAAACGTCTTCGTTCTTTTATATATTTATGTGTATGTAGTAACAGATAATGCATGGTGATTTTGGATTTAATACAATTCCGTTACTTTCAAGAAAGCTTTCAAAATTGCATCGGAAAATCCCAGAATTTAAAAGAAAACGAAGTCTGCTTTAAGGTGGAAGTTTTCATTTCTCCAAATCTTAGAGGTCATTTGGCTTGCGAACATGTTAAATTGAAATTATAATATGAAAATTAAATAATAACGGGAAAATTTGGAAATGGAAGTTTAATATGGCAACCTAGCTTGTTAAACTTTCACAACTGAAACCGAGTGTAGGGCCATTTCCAATCTGTAAATGACATTTTCAGATGTCCAAATATTACTACTATTGTATGATACGATGATTTTAATGCAAGACTTTAACGTCTTTTCATTTATATGAAATCGATTTGTTTGAATTGTTGACTTTGTAGTAAGCTAATGACTTAGACTGGGACTTTAATCTTTTTGACCAGGAATATTCTCTTGAGTTTATAAATTTTAATTTACGGTCTTCTTCAATTTCTCTAATTTAAATTGTCACGATCATTGAGGGTCTCACTGCCTCGTGTAGGCCATTGAACTCGAATGGGAGTTGAACCTAGTCTTCTTTGGTAGCACATTAATATCACTGTTGAAAGCTATATAATTCTGCATTTAGAAAATAGAACTGAATATTTTTTAACCACTCCCAAAAATAATGACCGAAAAAATATATAATTTTTGCATATATGTGTTATGCATATAATGTACATATTTTAGTATATTTTAGTATTTTTTTGATTAATGAATACAATTAGTTTCGATCGACCAACCAATTGTGTATTTTGCCCTTTAGAAAACGACTACCTGAAATTTCAACAGAGGTTATTTAGTGGCGCAATACTACTGTTGGAGATACAATATACCAAGTTTAAAGTTTAAAACAATATACAAATTGGAAATATTTCCACTGGACTGCAAATAACGAAAACCAGAACTATATAGTTCAACAACAACAACATACCCAGTAATATCTCATACCTTGGGGTCTGAAGAGGGTAGTGTGTACGCAGATCTTACCCTTATCCTGTGAGGATAGAGAGACTGTTTCCAATAGACTCTCGGCTTAGGAAAGTATAGGAAAGCATAAGCACCACATTAATGAAAATATAGACAGACAAGAAGGGACAGTACCAAGAAATCATATAAAAACAGAATAAAAACAACAGATAGTAAGGTGATCAACAATGAAAGAAAACAATGGTTAGTCATAAAAACCTACTACCAACAAAAAGCGAGACTGCGTACCAATACTACTGTTATGAATACTCTAGACTACCTACTCTACTACCCTAATCCTCGACCTTTATATCTTCCTATCAAGGGTCATGTCCTCAGTCAGCTGAAGTTGTGCCATGTCTTGCCTAATCACCTCTCCTCACCTTTCTTTGGCCTACCTCTACCTCTCTATAGGCCCTCCAATGTCAACCTCTCACATGACCTCCTCACCGGGAAGTATGTGTTCCTCCTCCTCACATGACCAAACCACCTAAGCCGCGCTTCCCGCATCTTGCCCTTAATAGGGACCACACCCATCTTGTCGCGAATAACCTCATTTCTGATCTTATCTAACCTGGTGTGCCCGCACATCCATTTCAACATCCTCATCTCTGCTACCTTCATCTTCTGGACATGAGCGATCTTGACTGGCGAACACTCAGCCCCATACAACATCGTTGGTCCGACTATCGCTCTGTAGAACTTACCCTTAAGTTTTGGTGGCACCTTCTTATAGTTCAAGTATTGATATAATATAATACTCTATAATATTTCCAATTGCCAACAAAAAGGGCCCAACAAATGCAACTGGGAAGAAAATTATGATATCTTGATTTTGTAGAGTAAAATGGAGAGAAATTGGAATCAAACTAATAAATCAACCACTCTAATTCCAACTCATTACTTGGGTAGATGGCATGTGCTTTGTCTGGAGGAAGTTGCTCTGTTACTTAAAAGTCAATTAATTTCAGGTGAGCCAAAACATGAATGTGCTAGAATTCTGCCCCTTTATTTAATTATTAAACATGAAGTTGTTTATTAAATGACTATTTTGGATAATAAATAGAACTCTAGCCAAGCAATCCAAGCGTGCGACATTATAGTAATGACCTAGTTGGCAAATCTACGACAGATCTCTCAAGGTACACACAAAACCTTAGCTCACAGCTGTTGCCATTTATTTTCGCTAAAATGAAAGCTCAACAATTATCTTAAATATTGCAACATAACATCGCTCGCGAGTAGGAGTGATTTAAAAAAGAATAAATAATCTGTCTATACATACCTCAATAATTTCCATTTTAGAAAAGTGCTAAAGGAAATTAAATACTATGGGATAAGTGTTCTACTAGCTAGTATATACATTACACAATATCTATGTGCAAGCATTTGGGAAGCAGCTCTCCAGTTAGTCTTATTTCGTTAATCGAACAATCAAACAATAATAATTATATCTCAATCCAAAATAATTTGGAATCGACTATATGAATATTGTGATCTTTTCTGCTATTTTTGGATCTTGGACTAGATAGCAGCAACAAGTTGATTTTTAGGCCTCGACCCATACATTCTTCATATCAACGTTCATGGAATTTTGTGCAAGCAATGTCAGTTTATTATCACAACTTAACTCATATGTGAGTTTGAGCTTTGCACGGTATTGGTTCTAAATTGATTTTTTGTCCTATTTTTTTTGTGATTCACAATATTTGATTTTTTCAGTTAACTTTTTTTTTTCAAAATTGCCTTTGGAGTAAAAAGACAAGAAGTATTTGTTATATTTCCGATTACAAATTAAGGTTAATATGGTTAATTTTATTATTAATTAATGCTAAAAGGTAAATTCCTTAATATATGTGAAAATATCTAAAATATCAATTAAAACGGACCGGAGGGAGTAATGTTTGGGAAATCTACCCTCTATTGCCCCTCAAAATTTTAATAGACCATGTTTTTCCATTGACACGAAGCTAGCGTTTGGCCATAGATTCCCAAATTTGTTCTGAAAAATCTGATTTGGGTGAAGTTTGGTTTGAAGATGAAAATGTGTTTGGACATCAGTTTTCAAAACATATTTCCCAAAACTATTTTGGAAAAACATGAAACATGACTTATACCCACAAGTTCTAAAAACTATCACAAATACCCAACAGTACCATTATCAATAACATTCATTATATTATCGCAATCCATGGTACTAAACATAAATAAATTTGATACAAAATTATCATTTTTATAATGAACTACATGATACACTATCAGATGACCGAGAAGACGAAGCAACATTGTTACAAAATAATAAATGATGGGCTCTTTTATAAAATACAAAAGTTTGGGGCAATTTTTAAAAAAATGTAATAGTGATATTTTGGCCCAAAATCAGCTATTGGGCTGGTTTTGGGATTTGAGATTTTGCCAAAATGTAGGCAAAATCTATGGCCAAACAAGTGTTTGCCAAATAAAATCCAAATTTATTTTGGCAAAATCTATAGTCAAACGGGTCCGAAATTGCCCTTCAGCCCAACCATATTGCATCTAGTAGTCCGAAATATCTATTTTGTATATTTTTTGTATAGTGACGGTCTATTTTGTATATTTCTTGTATAGTAACAATCTATTTTGTATATATTTTGTATAGTGATAGTCTATTGTATATAAATTGTATAGTGTCAGTCTATTTAATATATTTTTGTTTAGTAACAGTCTATTTTGTATATATTTTGTATAGTGACAGTCTATTTAGTATATTATTTATATAATAACATTCTATTTTTATATATATTTTATATAGTGACACTCCATTGTATACAAATTGTATAGTTTTTGTACAGTAATAGTCTATTTTGTATATATTTCAACTTTATGCATAGTTATCTCCTCTCATCTTAGAGACCAGCCACCGGCGTCCATGGCCTCACAGTCGCCGAAAATGGTAACAAGATTGCCGGAGTTTTAAATTTTCAGCCAAAGATCTTCAAAATATTAACTTCATATTCACAGAAACTATAAGAAAAAATCAGAGAAAGAAGACAAGGTCATGAGAGTCGTGGTTGGCGGAGTTGCTTCTTCAACGGCGAGGACACCGGGGCAACTTCCGGCCGACCTCCTGTGGGAGAATCGTTTTCCCTTTCTTTTCTCTTTTTTTTAGATCTTGAAGGTAAATCAAAATACATATGAAAGAAGTAACTATGATACACCGGAAATCAAAATACATCTGGCTATTCTGTTGACAGTGGTAACAACCATGGGTTGCTAGCGTGAGAGAGAAGAAGAGAGATAGTAAGGAAGATGGGGATGGGAGGCGACTGCTATCCCTCCTCTCAAAAATGAGAGATGTAAAAATGTGATTGGGAACTCGAGATTTGCCAGAGAAGTTCACCGACGAAGAGCAAAATAGAGTTATTCGGCTTGAAGAATCCGATTTTCCTCGGTGGTACCACTTTTAGGTTTTTTCAGTTGCTAGCAATTGTTATTGTTTTTAGACTATGACTTGTATGGGTTAATTTGTGGCTACCGGATGATATATGTTTGGCCGATGAGATATAAATGAATTTCTCTCGTAATGTTTTACATTTCCTCCCAAATTAATGTTTACCTTGCATTACTTTTTCATTGAGAATATGAATAGCAAGAAACTGAAAAACTGGCAAGTAGCAAGATGTTGTACCTAATCGCATACTAATAATGGTAATCCAACAATATGCAAACAAATTTTTGGGGCTACACTAAATATTGTATAGGTATCCAACGGACATTTATAACCACATATGGATGACCTTTTTTCTTCCATTTTGATCCAGATGAGCGTCATGGTTCTTGATTAGGAGCTGTGTCCTGTGGTGGGAATTCTTCAGCATATGAAAAGAGGAAGTTACAGGGTACAATTGAGTATGAGATTTTATTTTCAGATTGAACTTTCCCTAGCTAAGACAAACAATGTCAGGCCACAAGACTTTCAGCAAAGTTCAAATAGAGTCAAAAACTCAGTGGGATTTACACAAACGCTGAAAATGACTTAACATTTTCATCCACAACCATAATTTACATCTGGAGTTGCCACAACTGATTCAAATGGGATCTCAACTCTCTCTTTCACGACGCACCGAGTTTCCCCATTTTCAACCACTGGGACTTTTCCTGGAGGGCATTCAACAACCACTGGGACTTTTCCTGGAGGGCATTCAACAACCACTGTCGCCTCCTTGCTTGCAAGCTGTTGAAACAAGGTCGACACCTTGAGCTGATTATCCCGTTTCTTTAGCTGAGGCTCAAATCCAGCCAAACTCAAGACAGAGATTACACCAACAACTGTAAGTGCTGTCTTGGCTGCTGCACTAATGAAGAACTTAACCATTTTTAATGGGCTTTTAGACTCGGATCTTTCTTGGTTAGCTTCATCGAGATCTTTCCTGGAGTAGTGGTTGTGGCTACCAGTTACCCCATTTTGAGTGAACTTTCGTGCAGATGGCAAGTGTGCGCCATAACCTTTGTCTGACACCATGGCACGAGATGGTCTGCTTGGGTACGGAGGAAGTAGAAGATCGTTGTTGTCTCCTACTGTTTCAGAAACAAAAGCAATCGCCTCGTGTATGACTTGGAAGTCCTTGCCTTTGTAGCCTTTCAGTGTCTGGAGCAGCTTTTCTTGACTATAACCTATCTCAGACAGCGCTGCTTCTTTTTCATACCATTGTTGCTCTTGTAGTGCCTGGACATTTTTAATTTGAAGGCGATAAGGTATAGCCTTTACCAACATGAAATAACTCAAATACACAAAAAAGTCGTGTAAAAACAAGACTTTACAGAGAGAAGATAATAACAGCTTTGGAGGATGCAGTGAATAATCTCAGGCAACTAGGACAAGAAGTTCTAATTTGTTATTCAGAAATACTGTTGGAAGAGGCACATGCGATCCAATCTCTGAGGCAATCAGAAAATACTGCCACTTTGGGACATTGGATAACGTCGTGTTTGAAACAACAAATAGGAAGAAGAATATTTACACATGTAACTACCAACCTCGGACAAAGCATAGTTTCACGCTTTGAATTATAAAAATCTTTCGATAGATACTTCGAATAAAGTAAACTATATAAAGAGTTTTCAACAGATAGGTGCTCATACAAAGAAGAGATGCTTGGCTTCTCCCCCACACGGCAGGGACGGAAAAACGTTTGAGCTTTACAGTTACCATACTTTTGATCAGATACTTCTTTTAACATAAGTGAAACAATCTATTTATTAACCAAGGATAAATCCTTCCTCCAAAATTGCCACCAATCCAATCTAATTACATGAAACGGGAGACACTAGTCATTTACTAAATGCAAAAGAATATCTTTAACAGGACAATAAGCTCTCCTAAAATCGACGGATCAGATTTCACTTGTAATTACCACTGGCACTTCTGACTTCTCATGAAATAAAAAAATCAAAATACGTGCAACTGAGAAATACAAAGCCTTACTAATAAAGAGAGACTAAAATTGACTAAAAAGTACTACTAGCCTCCTCACAAAAGATAATACTTGTTTTCGTGGTAGCTCTATAGCTTATAAATGGCACTGCAATCATTGGATCAGGATCGACCATGGCAATCATTGGATCAAAAGATTTTAGAGATAGTACGAGACAAGGTTTTCCCTCTGCAGAACAATACAACCAACTCAGGCGCATGCTACAGCCCCAAGGCCAACATGCAACAACCAAGTGATAAAATAAGCATAAACAATTATCTGAAATTCACATGAAATTTTTTCATACAAACTTCAAATTCTTTGATGAGAGCCGGTGATGACACATTTAGACTATTCACTCCTACTCTGGAAATAATATGTAATTCCCCTCACAACATGGTGAAATAACTTTCCAGTTGACTATACAGAGCATCAACTGCAACAGACAATCAGCAAGCAGATCCTAGGAATTCCTATCTGATTTAAGCGATAATTTGTAGACACATTACTTCCGAATTTACCTTCTATTTTTGGTTAATGACGACTTTTATTACCAAAGTGAAAGTGTTACAGCTCAAAAGAAATAGAAAAACAACTATCTAAGGCTGGGGCATGCTTTATTAATATTGGATAGCATTCTTTAAGAATAACTGAAAGGAACAAATTTCTAATGAGAAATATCAGAAACTAGACTGCAAAAGAACAGATATACCCAGTTTATTTATAAATATTATAGCTGGAACCCTCATTAAGTAGTTAAGGATTCAAAACTATTCAAAACACCCTATCAATTTTCAAGTCTATGGCAAAACAGGGGATGAAGTATGGGGTTTCACAGACTGAGATTTCCATATCTCTTGTTAAAACAGTGTTTTAGTCTCATTTATAACGAATGCCGCTGAAATCAGGTATCTACTTCACCTACAAAGATACAGCTAGAAACCAGCATTTACATTGTTTGTGGAATCAGGCTTCAAAAGTCAACAATTTTAGGGAAAGGTCGTTCAAGCAAGTTAGATTTTAAGGGGTTCGTGAGTTGCGGAAAATTTGTTTTCCCAATATCTTACTTCTACATCTCAAGATCTTTAGTTTCAAATAGAGATGAGAAGACCATAATCTTTCTATCTATAAGAAAGATAATAGTTTCAAAAAAGGTTTTTCTACCACAAGCACATGTTTATGTAATTGACCTTCAGTTCATTGTTCGCAAGTTCCCTTTCCCCTTTCATAGCAAATATTGCTCATAGCACAATAGACAAACCAGATTATAGAAACCTCACTAAGAAATCTGGAGTAAGGTTAAAAAAATGGAGTAGAGAATGCAATGAAGCGTCTAGCAACTATTCATTAAGGTTGAACCCTAATTTGGCCGCCGCTTTGCCTATCAACTGAAGAAAAAGGGAAATTTTGCAAAATTCTGTAGCATATGAAGAGAACAAAATAAATACAACACGTCAATCTCAAACTAATTGGAGTCGACTATACGAATCCTTTAAATTATTCAGCTCCAATTAGGCAGATTTCATCCCATACATGCACATTTAAAAGCTTAAAAATAAAAATAAAAACGATGAACAGAAAGAGACCTGCAGAGAAGACACTTGGGCTTCAAGTGATTCAAGAGCATCCTTAATCTTCAACAAACAATCCACTGCTTCATCATCCTCAGCCTCGAGGCTTGTTCCATTTGCAGATTCCACTTCTTCTTCATCTAATTTCTTGGATGCTTTGTGAATGCAGTTTGTAATCTCTACTCTCAGCTCAGAGATTCTAGCCAGTACTAACCCTATTCTGTCTTCATCCATATTAACCTAAAGATTTCAACTTTGGCTTCTGAAAAATGAAAATCTTGAATTTTTGTAAAAAAGGGGTTTCAGTAATAGAGACAAACAAGTGCCAAGAAAGTGCCAAAATGTGAAATACAAGTGATTGTGGTGCTTTCTTAAAGCCTAAAGAGATGACTTTAGGAATTCTTTTTCCTATAAACCCCGAAACCTCCTCCCAACAAAGTAAAACAAAACAAATTATTCATTTGTCTGTTTTATCGTTTACCTGATATTGAAAAATCTCCTATAATTATTTTATTTTGTGAAATTATTTTTGTGGTCCGGGATCACTCTCCTTGTTGTTATTTTTATTTCTCATTTCCCGTCTTTCTTTGAATTTAAATGAAGGGAGGGCAACCTTAGCCGGTAAAATTGTTATCATGTGATCAAGAAATTACAGGTTCAAGTCGTGTAAACAGTCCCTTGCAAAAATGTAAGTCATAGACATTTATGGTCCGGCCCTTCCTCGAACTCCGTTAGTGCACCGGACTGCACTTCTATTTTCGAGTTTATACTTGTCATAATAATTTAAAAAAAATAATTAAATCTTATTTCCAAGTAATTATCTCTGCCTTTTATAGTCATATTAGGAAAATTCTAAATACCATTTCACAAGTCTTTTTAGTTCATACGAAATTCCACTATTTTCTAGAACTAGAAATGCATTAAATCTTATTTCCAATTTTTTTTTTTAAAATCAATTTTTCCAATTAAAATTAACCTTTGGTTCTTTGAAGCTTCCACCTCCGTCAAAAAATTACAATCAATATCTAAAAACTATTAATATAAAAAAATTCATTATTTTCTTGTATGGTTTCGTTAAGAATATAGTAGGTCTCATTTTCAAATTTGGTAATTTATTTCAATATAAATATTTTAGAACTTTGAATTAAACTACTCAATTCTTCATATTAGTAAATTTTTTTTTTTACAATAAGATCCAAAGTAATGTATTATTAATACGTGGGTACCATCTTATTGACTTAAATTAACTCTTATCGATATAGATAAATATTAGTAACAGTTCTTGTGAAGTTAAATACATGTCTGGTAAGAATACAATATTATTAACAACAAGTAAGAAAAAACAGAAAAGTGATACTAACGTTTTGATTAAGTGTTATACATATATAATATAAGTATTTATTTAAAAAAAGTTTAAGGTCTCTTATTAAAATTTGGCTTTGATAACCACTGACTGTATTTCTCTTCGTGTGGGAGGCTCTATATCTCCTCTCTTTTCGACGGCTCAATATCTCCCCTCTTTTCGACTTTTCTATAGTGCTTTTGATAGGGCAAGTTATTCTTCTCCATACTTGCATGGCTCATCTATGCCTATTATGCGTATTCTGTGTATGAGACGCTGTCAGCATTGTCTAAAATACGGGATACACCAGTTGTTGTTGTGGCATAGCTCAAATATATACATGACAATCTTCGCTCTACATGAAAAAATACTTCTCCATCAGGGGGTGCTTACTTTCCTTATGACACTTTCCATACTTTTGGGTGGGGATTTTGTTAGTGTTGATGGAGAGGGTGCTTACTTTCCTTATTCCATACTTTTGGGTGGGGATTTTTTTAGTGTGGATGGAGAGACTTCTGGTTAGGACTGAGTTGCCGACACACTTACCCACCAAGCTGAAGCTTACTGTTACCATCGCCTGCTGCCAAGGGAGGACATTTATATTAATAACACAAAATAACCACCTACCTATTATATTTTCATAAATTAGAGATGTTATGCATCGCGTCTCATGTCTCTTTGCTAGAATCCCATCACCATGCAATTCATATCATTATCCTAGTCAAGGAAGGTTGTTGCCACCACTACAAGGGATACATTTGCTGTCAATTTTACATATGATTTCTCACTATAATAATAGCAGTATATTGGAATGTATCAAGCATAGTGTAGGTTGTAAGTAGTATAGATAATTAATCTTTCAATCTTTCTAGGTTGAATTAAAAGTTTAAAAATAGTTTATTATAATAGTTGAAGTGCAAGTACTCTTCCTAATATAACTTCAGTTTGTAGTTTGCATAGTCAAGTTTTAAAAACATACTATTGTGACTTATACCTTACTGATATATGATTTTGAACTAAAAAAAATGGGATTTAAGACTCCATTGCACGAATCGTGACAAATTATCTATTTAAGAGTAAGGGAACATTGAAGTTAAATACTTTCGAGTACAAAACCAAATTTTGGGCTTTAGTGTAACCTTTTTTGTTAATCGTTGGGCAGCCTTCAGCTTGCCAATGCAGGCATCTCGTCTCAAAGTTGAACAATAAGTTGATCCAAGGGAAATCATGAGACATGAAGAGAAGCTAGCTTTTTAGATTAATCTCTACTATGCATTGGTGATGCTTGTTAGATTTTTCTAGCTGAGAGAGGTGTCCAAATTTCGCTTAGTTTGTACAAACTTGTTAGTACTTGTTTTCAGATTGCACATTTCTTAGTCTTGTAACTGAATACCATTCAACTACTTAAAGTGACTTGTGGGGTTGTGGTTTCCACATCTTCTGTTCACTGCTTGGGCCTCATTCATGTAACTCCGAAATAAAGCTTACATCCTTGGTTCAAACAAGCAAAAAAAAAGTAACCAGAAATGGTCTTCATAATTTATAATACCACTTGCTTTATAGTACCTTTTGGCTTTTTGCATACCATTGATCTATTTAGAGCTACTATAACCAAAGAAACTCTAACAAAAAGGGGAAAATGAGGATACAATCATTAGGAATGACAATTATGGCACTTCACTAGACAACCAGCTCAAGAAAGTTCACTAAATTGAACCACTTCTCAATCTGAATAACCCCTTTAATATATTCCAGATCTTAAGTTACTTTTTCTCAAAGCTGCTATTCAACAGGTTTTGATTGTGATTCATCTGACATTCATAACCATTGACAGTGACGACAATCAGAAAGGCGCGAGACTGTGAAACTCACTCAACCAATTCACTTGAAATAAGGTAGCGGAAAGTGAAGTTGTGAGGAATCCAATCAATTTTCTTCCACAACTTTCGTTGCTCGGGCTGCTGAATTTTCTTCCTCAAATAAGAAGGTAATGCTTGCTCTATTGTTTCGAATAAACCAGATGGGCACAAATTTATCTCTTTAATATCAGATTCCACATTCTTTGGAAGGACTAGTTTTTGTTCTTTGTGTACCCTTATGTTTGCCTGAAGGTACTCGTCTTTAGCCACTTCTAGTTCTTTGAACACTCTCTTCGATGTGTACAGACGAAGCTACACACATATAATGGAATAACAAGTCAAAACATATAGGTATAAAATCAAGAAAACAGTTATTCTTATCGATCAAGATACCATTAGTTTTAGGCAGAAAAGGAAAAGGACAGTTTGGCTGAACGAAAAGGTAATAAGATACTAAGTAATGTTTTTGTCAGTGCATACCACATTATCAGAATGGTTTCCTGAGCAGAGAGCAAAGCGTAGGCGAGGATCTGGATGCTCTATTGCATATCCCTTTCGTGCATCTCCAGCTTTAAATCTTTATTTAGTAAAGAACAAAGATTGAAGCCACTACAGGCAAAATTAGCTCCAATAAGCCCCATTCAAACGAGACACAAAGTCTAACAAATTAATTATCTAAATAATACATATGAAACCAAAGAGGGAATACAGATGACTTGACTGTTACAGAAAATAGTTTTGTGACTTTAACTTACTATTACAGAATTAAGAACTGAATTTACCTGACCAGGACGAGGCAACTGGCATCGTAGTATAGAATTCTGAATCCTATTTACACTTACTGTATTCCCTCCAATGTTGTAAGCTGCCTGAAACATGAAAATTTTATTCTAAGTACCACTTACTGTGCAACTATTTTCCAGGTATATCAAACAGAATCTTCTTACCTTAAGAAGTAGAGATGTTCTCTTAAGATTACTTCTTGGAATCCCATGAACCAAAAATGCCTGCAACATATATAATGCTGGTTCATAATTTTTTACATTTTAATATAAAGCAGGAATTTACAGTAAAATTTCTTAACTCTTAGCTATAGAAATATTACATGCATCACTAGTGCATTGTGGACATTAATCCAAAAAGATAGTTTCTCTCCATGTCTCATTTTCCTAGGGTCAACTTCTTCCAACTTTGAGACTAGATACCTGCATTGGAAAGTTCAAGACTATTCAGAATTGCAAAAGTTGTACAACTCCGCAAACTTATTGATGTAGACCACATTTTATAAAAGCTATCAACATTAAAATTCCATATGTAGTCATGTAGATGCACTTAGGCTTTGTTTCTTTAGAACGGAAAGCAAAAGGAAAGGGAAACTCAAAATCAGTACAATGACTCGCCTCTTCTATCCTTCCTTCCAAATGCTTTCGTCCAACATAATGTTAATGTTTTTTAATAAATGTCATCTCGTCTATTATTCTACTTGGGTGTGGTCCATCATAATGTTAATCTAAATGTACCTATGAAGAGTTTAGTAAGTGGTATCAGCTGGAGCTACTATCCACAAACCTACACATGGTATCAAAGTCAATGCTCCACTTACGAAAACTTACAAGCAAACACGAGCTTGAGGTAATCGTGGAAACTTTAGGTATCTTCGTATATATTCAGCCTTAAAATTTTGATGGCTTATATGTGAAGAGGTATTATACAAACTACAAGTTGAGTTATAAATTGCTTTAGCATGTGCTCTACACCATTTAAGCTCTGGCTATCTCGACACAGCCCTTGCACCTGAGAACCAGAAAATGAATTTTCTCTGCATTGCTGTCCCTGGATATCACCCTGAGCTTGAGGGAAACGATGATGAGACTGAGATGGGAGACAAACTTAAATCATAGCCAAAGAAAGGCGGATCAGCAAACTGACAATATATGGCTGAAATGCACTTGATCATTTCTTCTGAAAGCTGGCTTGGCGAGCCATGATAATTATTAAAACAACTGATAACAAAATGCTCCGCGAGACTCCTATTAGAAGTTGACAGCTGAGCGTGCTGGTTGCAACATGATAAGATTTTCAATTATTAGTTACTCTACAATGCATATTAACAAAACTTAGTTCATGTATTCTGCGCAGTAGTTACAAGAGATTGTTGCAAAAATTAATGAGATGGTTGTTTTTCTATATCATTACTTACCTCCAGCATTGATAAAGGCAAGGAATGATATGAGTCTACAGCCTCAGCAAGAGCTGCAATTGAAGGTGAAGCTCTGAAGGAAAAAGCAGCATGTGATAGGGAAGAATGGCATCTCAAAATGGTAGAATCAACTAGTTTTTTTGTGTCATCACATTCTTTGATTGGATTACTCAAAGGTGGTAAAATAGGACTAGTATTAGTCATTTGATTTTCCTTTGACTTGCCATTTTGCTCTTTGAGTTCTGAAAGTCTCCTTTCATTGGGAGTTGAATTAGTTTTCGACAGTGATTCTAAGCACTTGCCAAATGTTTTTCGATACATTGAAAGGAGATGCTTCTCCAAACACATAATATCCAGCTCTAGAAGAGAAATTTTTCTAATCAGATCTTCATGAGCAGGCTGAAAATAGGAAAAAGCAAGAAAAGTTACTAAACAAAAGCTTGATTAATTAAAGACAGAACAATTCAGATAGCATTTCAATTCCCCTTAACAGTCTAGTTCAGTTCTCAGACTTACAAATATTTTCTTTTCCTTAAACAAGAAAGTCATGAATCAGAAAGTCATTTGTCAGAAATATTTCCCAGTGAAAATATTTTCACCAAAGAAGGAAAATAACTTCCTTCACTTTTGGGCGGAAGTCGTTTTACTGCATAATTGTTTAACTCTTAACTTCATACATACTTCTTTAACTAATACTTAGATGTTATTATCAATATTTGTCACTCAAAATTTTCATCAAAACCCTCACACGTTTTGCTAATACCATTATCAATCTCTACGGAGTAACTGCTTATTTCCAAAAAGTATTGTCCAGAAATATTTTTCTAGAAAATAAGTCATTTTCGGAAAGGAATTGCTACACAAATAGACGGTCAGATTCAATGTTTACTTTCTAGCCAGTATGCATTTATTATACACAGTTATACATATATTATATATCCGTCAGCTATTATTTATTTAAAAGATTAGGTGTGCGGCTATTTGGGTTAATTCTTATCTCGGTTGGAAAGTCATAATAAACATACCCCAAAGAAATATTACTTGTAGTACTTATTTTCTTGTTAGTCCCGCCAATATTGCTGTATTTGTAAATAATAATTCTGGAAAATATAAGTTATCGTAATGAAACAGTAATTAATTCGAGCCCACTGAATTCACAGTGTTTCCTTAAGGAATTTAATCCCCTCCTAGTACCCGAGGTTATGGATTATTTCCCCCCAGGATAGAACGAATCACACACTGGTGTAGCGGTACTTCAAACCCCAGTGTTTCAGCGAACACAAAGTTCGGTAACAAATCACATTTACAGTTGCTTTGTTTGAAGTTAAAACAATGCAGAACAAAGGAGTAGAAACTCAGAAAATCGTATGGAAATGCTGAGAGGAAGGAGTGCAATATATAGCCAAAGTTGAGCGTTTTCAGTTTTTGTGTTGTGTGTCTTTCTTCAACAGTTGCTGCACATGTTTATAGCAGTCAGCTTTGAAGATGAACGACCCTCCACCCTCCATTGTGGAGCATGCACTAGCTTGTGGAGCAAGCACTTGGCCATAGTGGGAAGAGCATTAGGCGGCTGCTATTGCAAGTGGTGGTCAATACACGGATTGGAACATATCTGTTACAAATGCGGATAATCTTACGTTAATATTTACTATTAACAAATAAATTCGGTCCAAAAAATTAATCAATCAATCGATCATTTGACCAAATCCAAATCCAAATCCAAAAATCCGAAGCCGAAGCCGAGCCGAGCGAGCGACGACGACGACGGCGCGAGGTTTGCTTTCTTCTTAACTCTTTAAGAGCTACAAGAAGAGCAATTATATATATACCCACCAAAAATCTTTTCCTCTTCCAATATGGGACAATGTCCCATTGTCAAGAGGAGGAAACTTAAAATTTTACTCAAAATTTTCATTTTTCCCTCCATTTCCCATTCACTCTCATTTTAAGACTATTTCATCTTAAAAAAAAAAAAAACCTCAACAATCCCCCACATGAATGGGGAATGGCTATATCAC